CAGGAATCCATCCTGGCCTTCTATATGGGTGGTAGTGACAGAAGCACTTAGGCCATCTTCCACTCCCTTTCCAGCCACATTAGCAAGGAACTGGATCAGAAGTGGAGTAGCAGGGGCTTGAGCCAGTACTCCAGTATGGGATGCCAACATTGCAAGCAGTGGCTTAGCATGCCGCACCACAACATCAGCCCCAGGGTTACTGTAAATTTAATTACTTAAGATGAGATCACAACAAACTAGAATGGGCTGCTGATCATATGTAAGTGATGTGCTTGTAAGAGGAAGCTGGAACTCAGATGCACACAGGCAGAACATCATGTGGAGCCTGGAGTCGCATTGCCACAAGCCAGGGAACTACTAGGTGGGCCAGAAGAGGAGCCTGACACAGTTCCTTCCCTGGCCCTGCCCATGCCTGGATGCAGGGCTTCTGGCCTGCAGAGCTGTGAGACTGTAGCTGTTTACGCCACTCCATTTGTGGTATTTCCTTATGGCCACCTTAGCAAACAGTTATTCGGTATTTGGATCATATTCTCCTTTATGGCACATTGTCGAACTTGGTTCTTGGCATTTAGTAGGCTCTCAAGAAATGTTTATTGAGTTTGTTAATGCCATTTGTGGTAAAATAGGAAATATAAGTCTAGTTCCTTCTCTCCTTGAGTATGAAATGTTTGAGTTCCTCAGCTGCTTTAAGTTCTTTACTTGCTACGCTGTCTCTCTCAAAAATTTCAAACAACTCTTTAGTGTGGTTGGGTATCATTTCACAAATCCTTCCTGTGGGACTCGTTATATATAACATATACCACTGCTCCACCCCTGGGTTGCCATGAATATCTAGGAGAGAAATGAGTTTGAACCCTACTGGCAACGTGGCTCGCTCGGCCCACGAGAGGTAGAGGGTGTTATCTCAGTGAGACGACTTGGAACAAGATTCTGGGCTTTCTTCGCTCAGCTCCCCTTTTCCTTCTAATGTTCTACTCTGCTCTTCTAGGAGCAGGTTCTGCTTCTGCATGGGGCGGGGGGGGTGGGCCTGTGCCAGTTCAGCACTGCCAGGGAATAAACAGTTCTGATCGAGTTTCCCTGGAAGCCCTGAATTTCATTATAAACTACATCTTAAAACTAGCCTTTATGAATAGTAAATGTGGGAATGCTGTGGTTCTCCACTTGCTCTACTTGTGTCTTGTCCTTGTTCAGATGGAGGAAGCAGATGCCATTTATTGCTTCTCGCTCAACCCAATTCTCAATAGCCTATTAAAAGATCTTTTTGTCTCCCTTATTAAACTCTTCTCAGATTAACCTGCACAATGTAAGTATTAAATTCATGATTTCTAGTGTAAGCATTGGTCAATTAAGTAATAATAAAGAAATGAATGCATAAACAAATGAGTTAGATAAACTGGGAGAACTTTGCTCAGGAATCTGACAAATAAATAAAAATATGATTAAAGGATTCTCCAGAAACTCTAGAAATTTTTAAAAGAAATATCTTACATTTCTCTTGAGAAATTAATAGTATTATGTAGTTGGAAAAACCATTTGTTTATAGGTAAGCTTCTTGAATGAACTCTCCACCCACATATTTTATACTTTCTCTTCATTTGTTCTGTAACCCATTCTAATCTGGCTTGTACACTTCTACACCTTCAGTACTCCAGTGATTGCCATGTTCATAATTTCAGTAGATGCCTTGCCCTTGTCTTGCTGGCCACAGACAGGTGTTTGGCTTGGCATTAATGGTGTAAAGTTCTACTGGTTTTGCCATGGCCTCCATGGCTGCTGTTTCCTCATCTCCTTTTGCCAATTCTTTCTCTCAGTGACTGCTCAATGTTAGGATTCTTCAGATAACTGTTCTAGGGATTCTTGTTTCCACTCCTCACCCTGGCTCTCTAGGCAATTTCATTTTCTCCTGGTTTAAATTACAATGCAGGCCGGCACCACGGCTCAATAGGCTAATCCTCCACCTGCGGCGCCTGCACACGGGGTTCTAGTCCCGGTCGGGGCGCCGGATTCTGTCCCGGTTGCCCCTCTTCCAGTCCAGCTCTCTGCTGTGGCCCAGGAGTGCAGTGGAGGATGGCCCAAGTGCTTGGGCCCTGCACCCCATGGGAGACCAGGATAAGTACCTGGCTCCTGGCTTCGGATCAGCGTGGTACGCCGGCCGCAGCGCGCTGGCCTCAGCAGCCATTGGAGGGTGAACCAATGGTAAAGGAAGACCTTTCTCTCTGTCTCTCTCTCTCACTGTCCACTCTACCTGTCAACAACAACAAAAAAAAAAAAAAAGAAAGAAAGAAAAAATATAAAAATTACAATGCAATCCAGCTGTAGGGTAGGCTATACTCTTTCAGATTGATTCTTTCTAGCCAGGAACTCCTAGAGGTGACATCAATGTAACTTTAGTGTAGAACTCCAGCTCAGTGTGCCCAAAACTGTATCCGTAGGTTTCTCCTTGCCCCAGAGTTCTGTTCCTCACCACCACTGTCTCTATCTCAGTGAATAACTTCACCACCCACCAGTGTTACCATTTTTCCTTATTTGTCCATTTTTAAAAATAATATAAAATCTACACTCTAAACATTCATACCACCACCATCTGCTGTCTGGAGTACAAAATTAACTTCCTGCTGCTCTAAAAGCCTCCACTGGTCCCTCCCTTGAATCCCCCAGAATACTCAAGAGGGTCTTCATGAAAAATGAGCATCTAATTTTGTCATCTCCATGAGTAAGATATAGCAACACCTTCTCTTTGTTCTCAGGATACAATCCCAAGTTCTGAGCATGCTTTATAGGGCCTTGCTTAACCCAGCCCTTCTTTATCTCTGTATTTCTCTGAAAGAAGTCTCTGATGTGATCACATTTGCAAATATTGGAAAGAAGACTTGCTTTGCCTGTGACTCTGAGACTATCTTTCTCTTTAGACCGCACTTATGACACTTAAAATTGTATAAAAACTATACATCTCAGCATATTGGAAGGAAAAAAAATACTGAATAGCTTAGACAAAATACACATTATAGGATGGTTTAAAAATATCTCCATTATAGAGTTAAGCCTACACCTTGACCAAAATATTTGCCCAATAATTCAATCTGATGAAAAAGTAACCTTGAAAATGGTATGTACTCACTCTCTGATATGTCACCCAGTGAGAACTTCATAATTTCTTTATAGAGCATAGGTCATCTTCAGATAGAAGTTTAAGACTCAGGCCTTGTTAGGTGTTCCATATATTTTTAATCTCTTTTGAGAATCTGTCTTTAATAGTATATACTACAAATTTCCAGAAACGTGATAATCTTCCATTTACATTTCACTATATTATACAGGACTCATTTATCCTTATCTTGTATTTTTTTTCCTTTTCTTCCCATATTTTGAGATTTCTGCCCTGATCATTCATCATGTGTGCCTAGGATAATTCAGATGTTGTCCTGATTTAAGATACATGGGTAGTGTACATTCAGAAATTTTGTATGTTCAAAAGTAACTTTCTTTGGATTAGATTAATGTTTTCTTGACAGAGTTGATTAAGTTCAGGCCAGTTTAGTTATTACCCTACTATCTTTTGAATATAGGGTATTAATAATGAAAGGTCTGGTGATCTTCTATTTCGTGTTCCTCCTAAGGAATCATTTTTATTCATTTAACATGGTAGTTTGGAAACTACAACTATGTGTGTTCAGGGATCTACATGTTTCATTAATCTGACCATAGATTTAGTGAACCACATCAGTCTGCAGTTGGGTGTTTCAACCTTACATAACTTTTGTCATATACCATTTATTGACTTATTTCTTCCCCTTGGGTTCCTTTGTCTCATTCTGGAACTCCTGCTATTTTCATATTAGGGATATTGGGTCTGTGCTCCAGAATTGTTTTCATTGCTCTTAAGCTAGGTATTCCTTTTAGTTTTTGTTCTGTTGTATTAGTTTTCTTTTGCTGTTGTAACAAATTACCACAATTTAGTGATTTAAATCAATGCAGATGTATAATCTTACAGTTTGGTAAGTACAAGTCTAGCATGGGTCTCAAAGGGCACAAAGCAAAGTGTTGGCAGGACAGTGTTCCTGGAGTCTCTAGGAATGATTCACTTCCTTGCTTTTTCCAGCTTCAACTTGGCTTGTAGTCCCATTTTTCTTGGCTTTTACATCCATTTTTCTTTCCTCAGAGTAATCATCATTGCATCCCTCTACGTCATTCTTTAGGAATCACATCCCTTCTTGCTCTCCTTTTCTGCTTCCGTCTTCCACTTTCAAGGAGGATTATAGTTACGTGGAGCCTGACTGAACAATCAAAGATCGCTTCCCCCATCTCCAGGCCTTTAACTTATCACAATTGCAAATGTTTTCCTGTATGAAGTAACATTCCCATGTCCCATGTATTAGGACATGAACATCTTTAGGGGTTGTTATTCTATCTACCACACCTGTGTTGTAGAATAGTCCTTACATTCCATCTTTTAACTTCCAGTTCAGGAACCAGCCTTGTGGTGCAGTGAGTTAAGCTACTGTTTGTAATGGCAGCATCCCCTATGGGCACCAGTTCAAATCTCAGATGTTCTATTTCCAATTCTGTTCCCTGCTAATTCACCTGGAAAGGAAGCAAATGGCCAAAGTACTTGAGCCCCTACCACCAATGTGGGAGACTAGATGTAATTCCAGGCTCCTGGCTTCAGTCTGGCCCAGTCTCGAGTGTTATAGCCATTTGGGGAGTGAACCAGTGAATGGAAGATCTGTCTCCTACTGTCTATCTGTAACTCTGCCTTTTAAATAAGTAAATATATCTGTTTAAAAATTAGAAATAATAAATCTCAAGTTAGGTAAACAACAATGAAATGAAAATGCAAATGGACCTAGTGATCATTTTTGGAGCTGTTTGCAAGTATTCTTTTTCTGAAAATATTTTTTATTAGCATTCATAGGGTATATCCCCTGGTGCAGCATACTCCATACTCATTGCCAAGTGGCCATGGTTGGAGTGACTAACCACGTGTTCCCATTCTCTTACAGAATCCAGTGAACAGGAAGACAAGAGTGCAGGTGCCTCAGGGGAGACCCCCTCCCAGCCTTATCCTGCGCCAGTGTACAGTCAGCCTGAGGAGCTGAAGGAGCACATGGAGGATACAAAGCCAACCAAGCCTGAAGAGAGTGAGGACTCGGACCCATTGCCTGATAACTGGGAAATGGCCTACACAGAGAAGGGCGAAGTCTACTTCATTGAGTGAGTGTATTTATTGTTTTCACCATTCCATAAAGGTCATGGCAGAATAAAAGTGATATAGCAAGAGCAGATGTGGCAAAAAAAAAACATGAAATTTTATTGTTTCTGGTAATAGCTCCTTTCTTTTTCAGAGAGGAATGGAATGGTGCCTTAACAGTTACTGTTCCTAGAGTATAACTATAAATCAAAAATGAATTAAATAATTCCATTGTCACATCTATTACAGTTGTGACTCAAAAGGCAAATTGCCATGTGCTGTTATTACTGGATGCTTATCCAGCTCTTTCAAAGACCAAATTATTACATTGCCAGAAATGCCTACTATTCTGTTCAGTTAAATAGGTTACAACAATATATATTTAAAGATTTATTTATTTATCTATTTATTTGAAAGACAGAGTTACAGAGAGGCATAAGAAGAGAGAGAGAGATCTTCCATCCACTGGTTCACTCCCCAAATGGCCGCAATGGCTGGAGCTGGGCCGATCTGCAGCCAGGAGCTTCTTCCAGGTCTCCCACGTGGGTGCAGGTACCGAAGGACTTGGGCCATCTTCTACTGCTTTCCCAGGCCATAGCAGAAAACTGGATTGGAAGTGGAGCAGCCGGGTTTCCACCTAGCACCAATATGGGATGCTGGCACTGCAGGCCGTGGCTTTACCTGCTATATGACAGCGCAGGCCCCAGGATACAACAATTTAAAGCAAAATATTTGCTGATCACAAAAGAAAAAGGTTAAAGCATTTGACCCTGAGTCCAGGTGTTTCTAAAATAATCTGTTTTGTATAGTTCATTCTACTTCCTTTTATTACATTACATTTTATCTGCTGATTGACATGTTTATGACTTCCCAAGGAAACTGAAAGGCTAATCCTGAACTCTGTGGTGATGCGCAATCTAATCTTTTTTTTCTTTCTTACTTCTTTCTAAAATACAAAATTTTCATTTATTTTCTCAACAATAAAGCTTTATTTTTTCTTTATTTCTAGGAGTAGATTAGCCTTTCTTAAAGGAACTCCAAAGTTAACTATGTTACCCTAAAAATAAATTATTGATGTGTATAAGACAACCACAATTCATTAGAAAGAAAAAAAAAACTACAAATATGGTACATGAACAACATTTATTCCCTCAGAGTTCTATAAACCTTAGAGACAAAAAAAATGCAGAAACTGAAGTGTTCAGTGTTGACAGTATATGCAAATATGTAAACTCTGATTATTCAAGAAAAATATTAAAACTGGATTTCCTTTCCCAACCTGGAGTGAGTTATGACTTAGATCTCCATAGGCAGAAGTCTGTTGTGAAATTGAAATGTTACCACATGCCAATATTTAATTCTCACGTGAAGTTGGAAACTCTGATACGTGTGGCCCAGGGAATATATAATCAGGTAATTATTTGGTGCTCTGCTTGACACCAACATGGATGAGAAAAAATAGTGTTTTGCAGAAAATGAATCACTGGCATTCACCTCTCAGCAAACGTTCTAAGTTAAAAAAAAAGAATAAAAATCTCTTACATTATTGTTTTATTGCTAAAATCAGTGACACAAAGAACATTTTTATAAATTAATTGGTAAAGAGACAGTCATAGTAGAGTTTTTCAAATGTGACCGATGGAAAACTCCGCATTATATTTATATCAAGAAACATATTTTTGATTTTGATGAGCACAGCATGACATCATTGCAGCCCAGAAATCAGATATATAAATCCTAGAAGTGAGGCCATGCATTGACTTGGAGCAACTGATATTCAGAACAAGGAAATGATGGCAAGGTTTTTTTTTTTTTTAATTTTTATTGTATGTATAGGAGGAACAAGGCTTTGTGCAAATAATAGAAGGAAGGGAGCATAAGTTGATTAAAAAACTGTCCTTAGCAAGTGCTTCCCAATAATGCAGTTACACATGTTCTTTCTCTGTGGTTGTGAGGTTAACTTTCTTCTTTGAACTGTGTCACATTTTAGATATGTAAAGAAAAGGGACTTTGGAGGACAGAACCAGGACTCTGGGTGTGCAGTATAGTAAATAATGGAGCCATGACTGGCCTTGAGAGAATCTAGCAAAGCAGTTCTGTTGTTGTAGTCAGTCACACAGTGTCATCATTGAAAGACTGAATATTCTATACCAGCTCTTAAAACTTACTGTCCTGTGAGGGAAGAGGATGGTAATTATGAACAATTAGCTGGTAATTTCTGAATTTTGTGATGCTGTTCAGAGGAGGTAAGCTTGGCGTAGGGCCTAAGACGTAAAAAGAAGCACCATAGAGAATGTTGGAAAACAGAGCACTTGGGGAACGGAAGTGGTGTTACCAAGGCCCGGTCCCTGGATGTCTCAGAACTGCTCAGGAGTCTGCTGTCTGGATCACGGCAGTATACGTTAGTTGGTGAAGCCTGGGAAGTAACGGCCTGGTTTGGTTATGCTGGAATGTTAGTGCTTTTGAAAGGCGAGCAAATGATCGCCTTTTTCTGTTTGTTTTTTTTTTTCAATCTCCTTAATACTTGAGAGGAGGGTCAATGTAAAGTGTAAGTATTAAGATCAATGTATGGTTTGAGTATTAGGAGCAGAGATAGGATAAAGTGGGAAATTCACATGAAACAGAGGAGACAGTTTCATTTGTGGTGAGCAAGCTGGTGCTAAGGGAGAAGGGGAATGAAATGTCTAGGTTGGGGCTAAAGTGACCATGAAGGATCCGAGTGGGAGGATGTAGTGAAGGCAGCATCAGGTTAGCTGCTATGGAAGGTTCCTGCACACAGCGTGGCATCCCAGCCCATCCTGCATCCTGGGCCAGGTTTCTCTTCATTTCCATGCCTCAAAAAAGCTGCCTCTGAATCTCAGGCTTCTGTGTGATGAGTGCAGGCGCCCCAGAGCAGAGGGGGCTGGCCCTTCCCTTGCACTCCTTCCCACTGGCACAGAAGTCTCCTGTCTCTCTGCCCACGTTCCACTCTGCTTTCCTTTTCCCTCCTTCTGTCCCTGACTTCTGCCTGCTTTCACCTTGGCTCTGGAATTCCCCATTCCATTCCTTAAAGACATTTGACAAAAATCCACATTTCCACCATCACTGATCAGTGAGCACCTCTGCTGTTACTATCCCAAAAAATCCTGATAGGAACAAACTCTATGCTGCAAAAATCCCCAGAAGTGAATGTGGCAGAGCCGGAGTCAGAGACAGGGCAAGCAGTGTGGTTATGCAGTAAGGATTAAGAAGCTCTTAAAACAAGATGTGACCCAGAGGCAACCCTGAAGCAGAGTCCTGGTAACAGAGAGCAAGATTAAAAGGAACAAGATAGAAATATGTATACACACACACATTGTGGAATGACTGAAACAAGCTGATCTGCATTATCTCATATACTTGACATTTTTTGTGTATGGTGAGAACACTTTAAAAAGGCACTGTCAGCTGCTTTTTTTTTTCCTCCCAAGCTTGCCTGTACTCATTCTTGAGCATGTGGTTTTGCTTTAGAAGAATCTTCTCTGCTCACCTTTCCTTCCTTTCCTCAAATTGTTCCTCGTGTCCAGATAAGAGCCTGTGCCAGACCTAGCTAGGGGCTACCCCACAGCACGATGGCCCAAGTACTTAGGTTCCTGCCACCCATGTGGGAGGTTCAGATGAAGTTCCTAACTTCTGGCTTCCGCCTGGCTTGATCCAGACATTTGGGAAGTTGCATGCATTTGGGAAGTGAATCAGTGGATGAAAACTTGCTCACTGTTTCTCTCTCTTAAGTAGATCTTTAGAAAAAAAATTTTTAAATCCATTGTCAGCAATTTTTAAGAATACAATGCATACAGTTTTTATTTGTCAATAAATATATTAAAAAAAAAAAAAAAAAAGAAAAGGAGAGGCAGAGTACTAGGAAAGGAAGGTGAAAGAGCCAGAGGGAAAGCATTGTGGGAGCAGTGAAATTGAAGTCCCTCTCCGGCAGGGCACACCCATGCTCCTTGGGACCTTTCCTGGATTCTATCCCCTGAATGCAGGGAAACAAAGGAGCAGGACCCTTGTTCCTGTGTAGAAAAGTAATACATATGTATATCTTTACACTTATTTCTGAATAACCGGGGGAACACTATCAGCACTTGACACATTAGCTTTCAGTATATGATGGACTTTGAATTAAGGTAAGGGGAAGTCCATCTGTCTTCTATGCAATAATATTTTGAAATATTTATTGATTTACTTGGTATTGCAAGGTAGTTTAAATGGCTCAGTCCTTTAGAAGTTCTGCACTTAAAACATGAGGGTTTTTTTTTTTTTTCTGTTGTGCTCACCACTGGTGAATTAGTGAGCGCAGCTGTTCTTCCTGTGTTCTTCAAAATGCTTTCATTGATGAATGATCAAAGAATATTTCTTCTTATCACTTACAATGATTTTTAATGGTAAAAGGTGAATATCTGAGAAAGTACTTTTAAACAGCATAATTTTAATTTGTGAGTAAATGCCCTTTTCCAAACAGGCTTTAAAATGGTAATGATGCCTAATGTTGAACCAATTTTCAATACTTTTAAATGTATATTTATAAAACCAGTAGTTTCTTTGACTAACAACATCATTACTAACATATTTAAGTATGCAGAATATTAATTATAAATTCCAATTAAGTATATATAAATATAAAATAAGTTGTCATATATTGAGTGCCCAGTCTCCTCAGGCTTTATTCAGATTACACTAATAATTTTAGTTAATATGCCAAGCATTTACAATCTGGTCCTTTCATCCTCACTTATGAAGCTGAGGATGATAGAAGTAACTAGTTACCAAGAAGTCATCACATAATCAAGAAATGCTAGAGCCAAGGTTTCTTTGATTCTGTTCACTCAAGAAATATTTATTGGGTACATACTATGTGCTAAGACCCATTTTAAACTCTGGAAATACATTAGTCAACAAAATGGACAAGGCTCAAGCTTTCACAGACTGTGGTCTGTTTTCAGCTCCTTGTTCTTAACCCAGGTTGCTATGGTGCCTAATTTACATCCATTATATCATAACTACCCTA